GGCGTCCGACCACCTTCTATTTTTATTTTATAATTTAAATTATTTTTATATTAAATAATAAAAAAATGCCACATCATATAAAAATAATAAAAAAATAATTCAGAGTGATCAAAATATAAGTAATTCAAAAGTTCAGTAAATAAATTAGAAAAGTTAAAAGTATAAGGAGTGAAATAGAAGAGAGAAAAAAGTTATGAATGATGTATTTTACCACCTTAATAAACAAATAGGTACTGTAATCTCTTTCAAATCAAAGAAATGGTGTTTTGCCTTGATAGACAGCTTGGAATTGCAAGCTAAAAGGTAGATGCCAGAAGCCCAGAAAAAAGTTAAATGAACTTCATCTGTTCGTTGTTTGTAGTCGCAGATTCATTCATGGACATGTAAAGTTACTAAACACCAAGTCAAATTCCATGATAGTTGACTTAGCCAATACGTAGCCAGCTGAACCCTTGCACATATATATATGTATAAACCTCAATCCACCATTAGTCTTGACTTTTAAGCAAAGCCTCTAAAATGACTCGTTTAATCACGGTTTTGATCATCTTTCTTTTCTGTTTATCTTCCAAGCACCATCATTGGCTGAAGCTAGAAAGCTTATGGACTTACAACAAGCCGAAGCCATTTTATTCAACAGCAATGTTGTTTCAAGTGTTGATTATCAGCAGAGGCTTTTTGCTCTTCATCTTGCCAAAATTGATCGAATTTTACAGTCCGTCCCAAGTCCCGGAGCAGGCCACTAGACACATTTTTATTTCGTAACCAAATTCTCCTCTTGGTGGAACAAATAATGAATAACTGTGCTGAGATTCAGCAAAAGCGTTATGCAGCTTACTTTTTAGTCAGTCCTTTTCTGCTCCAGATTTCATATTGTTCCATTGATTTGGAATATTCCAGGTTCGAAACTTGTTCAAGTGATCTTTACTGTTTGATATGGAAAACATGTCTTGTTATTCTTGAAAAATGTTGTACTGTAAAATGCTTATAACAAGTTGGTCCATGATACTGCAGAAACATCATGTTTTTGGCTTATAGAATTCAAGAAAGTGAAAGCAATTATCAAGAAATTTGTTTCTTATTCATAGTAAACTACATTGTATACTTATATTAATGAAATTAATCCCCCAACCCCAAATTACAAATAGAAAGACATACAATCTGTACGGTAAAAATGCAAGCATATAATTATAACATATGTTACTCGAACTAAGGTGCCAGTGTCCCACACGGCTATGTATCTGACACAAGCACGACTGAATTTTTCTAAATGTTCTTATTGACCAAGTGTGAGACGTGTGTGTGAGTGAGATATGAGTAGTACTTCATGAAAAATAAATGTGTGATAAAAAGTTACATATAGATATAGTAGGGGGACAATGGGAGAATTATGCCATTTCATTAGTGACCGCCTCCAGGACTTGGGTGAGACTGTAATATTCTATCGATTTCGGCTAGATGAAAAGCGAATAGCCTTTCATTACTACCCATTGCATGCCCTTTATCATCATCATCACTATCTGGAAGCATTTTTTTAGGCTCCTTGGAAAGCTTGATTCCTGCAAAATTGACCTTAAATGAAGGTGCTTGTACCATCTCAATGTTTAACAGCTTTCTAGCTTCAAAACATGTTGGATGGAAGATCAAAGCGACAATAAGGATAAGAAAAACAAGGCTAAAACGAGCCATTTTAGTATATATTATCTCTGCTAGTTACTGGGGAAGTGAGGCCTTGTATGACAAATTGCTTGTATTCTGCGGTATATATATATAAAATAGAAGGATATTTTGGTAATTTCCTGCATGGATTCTTGTGTGAGATTAATGGAAATTGGGTTAGGTACAAATTAACTATGCCGCTGGCCAGTTTGCATGTGTTTTAAGTAACTTTATGCAATGGCCATACACTTATCACCACAAATAACTGGTGTCCTTACAGAATACTTCCCCTCTGACCAATCTCTTTGACACTTTAGAAATCAAGCATTTAAGGGTCAAACACCATTTCCTTCTACTTTTTTTCCTGGTGCTAATAGTTGAAGTTTGTTATTTTTCCCACTTTACTTATACCAAAACAAAGCTTTTACTTCCGCAGTTCAATGATCTACTGGACTACAGAAGAAAACCTAACATTTTCTATACTATTCAGTGTAGCGACAGTGTTTTAGCCAATTAAGTTGCATATAAAACTGTTACATTGAAGAAAAACAGAACCATGTACATTCTCAAGTCAAAGAATAGGCTTTGAGTTTCTAGTAAGGTAATATACGGGGAAAATGATGCTTTGATCCGGCTGCTATAAGTCTTGAGAAAGTGAGAACTTTTTTTAATGCAATATATTCATGAAGTAGAAAAACATCAATTATTGTTCTTAAAGTGGTCGGTATTGTGCTGACTTCGGCGCACGTTTATTTGCCAAAAAGGTTTGATGTGCTAAAGTTTATGGTTTGCTGAAGTAGGCTAATTACATGCATGAACTGTCGGTGTGGAATTTGGTTGGCTACATTATCAACAAGACATTGCAGGAAAGAGAGACGTGAGGGTCACTTTTAACTGGCTGAGATGGTATGCATATTTGAAAAACCCTGACAAGTGTAAACAATGCAGGGAAGCTTCGTTGAAAATCAAGTCAGGTAATTCTCCACTGATCAGCTACCTTTTCGTTTCTGCTAATTCTCTTCTGTAACTCCAATTGTCAGGAAACGATTAAGGGCCTGTTGAATGCTTGGGGTTTGCAGGTGATACAAGGAGTTTTTTACAATGTGCTGCAAGTAACGTGTTGGCTAAGTCAACTATTACATGTTTGGAACGAAATAAGGGATTCATGGTACACAGCCGGCTTGATTTTCATGACTTGATGCGATGTCCAGGGATCTGTGATTACAAACAATTAACTGATAAAAGTTATTAATTAAATTCTGTGGCATCCAGCGATGGACCGAGGGGGCAGTCGGAGCCATTGATAATCTGTTTTCGTCCCTCTAAAATTTTATAAGTTCATCCATAACATAAAGTCATATGTCCATTCATGCTTACATCCATGGTTTAGCCAAGCTGTGTATGAAGGTGAAAGACCATTTTTACACATTGTTCATTCCTTGAAGTCACATAATCAATATATTTGGCATAATGTTAATTACTATACCTGCAGGCTAAGGCATAATGTTAATAAATATATCTGCAGGCTAAGGTTTAATTTAGGAATTTGACCCAAAAAAAAGTGAACTCATGAACTAATTATTATTGGCTGGCGATCTGTTTGTTCAAATTGGTGTAGGTTTTCTAAATTAAAGAATAAAAGTCAAGCAGCATAAACTATCCCTTAAAACGTATTCGCCAGCTTGGAGGGCCATTAATCAATTTGCCTCTTAATTGAATAATAATATATATTTAGTCAACCATTTTTTTCAATTAAAAAAATTGAGTTGTGATCATGAAGTTGGTAGGTTAGGACCTCACATTAATCATTTGGACTCACGGATGGATCGATGATGCTTTATAACTTCACACAGTTAAAATTCTAATATAACTTTCTAAATTCATACTCTTTGACATAAAATAAAACGTTCATCTTTGCTTGGACCAAAAGAAAATAATTTAAGCAGTAGAGGGTCCTAAATATAACTAGGAAACTATATAATTATTATAATATTTGATTAGAATAAATGTCAAAATTATATACTCAAATGTGTAATTTTATATGAACTGCTTCAACACTGAATCTCAGCTGAAATTAAAATTACAGATTTTTCAAATATTTCAGGTAACAACACAAGAGCAAGACGAACATACATATAATACTGAATTATATAAACATTTTCAGCCTCTAATGTATACAAAACAATGAATTCAAGGGCCACAGTTAAGTGGCAATTGAGTCTAGCTAGTGGCCACCTCCAGGACTCGGTACCGACTGCAAAATTCGATCTATTTTGGCAAGATGAAGCGCAAAAAGCCTTTCGTTATAAGACATTACGTGATCGTTATCAGCCGGAAGCGTGTCGGGAACATCACTTGGAACCGAATTATCCTTCGGGAAAATGACCGCTGCCTCCGTCTCGGCATCGAAAAGCTTCCTAGATTGCATCGACGGTACATGATGGATCAAAGCAAAGACAATTACAAGCAAAGCAAGGCTAAAACGAGCCATTGTAGGAACCCCAAGTAGCTTATATTGTTTGGTTTTGAATACTTTCTTTAGATGATTGTGTATCGATCTCGAGATACATACATATATATATAAATGAGTTTAGAGATGGATTGCTTCACGTCACGCGCCATTTAGGCTAAGCCATCATATTTGGAACAAGTAATTAAAATTTAGGCTGGTTTGAAAAGATTTTCAGTAAGATACCATGGAATCTGGGGTTGGTACAAATCAACTGCAACATTTTGGCCGGCTTTGTTTTACAATTCCTTTGTAATTTCCAAATCTTTCGTTTACTTGTTTTGATAAATCTTTCAGCTTTAAGCTATCTAAGAAGATAACGTCAAAACTTCTCTGTTTCTCGATGATTCAATCATCAAATAAAGCAAGTAAATGCCAAGTGTTTGGCTGTCATAATTACATTTCATATAAGCTTTAAGCTGAAACACCTAATGTTTTTTATTTTATTTTGGTAATTAGACACCAATCATTGAGTTAAACAAAACCCAAAGATCTACATTTTTCCTATTCACTAATTTGTGCAATTAATTTAGTCTTTCTTCCTTTCAAACAATAAAACATGTTCTTTTTTTGGTAAAATTTGTTTTTAACACACTATTGATGGATAGTCAAAAACTGCAATTTTCTAACAGCCTCCTCCATGACAAGATCTTGGATTGTCATAAAAGTATTGTTCGAGCTTATACATGGTCTACACGTGGGTACAACTTAAGATGTCTTGTACAGGTTAGAACATATACTACTACTTGTAAGTACCTTAGATTAATAATAAAAAACAGAAAGATGCCTTGTACAGACACAAGACATGCATCAATCCGGTACAAAAAAGAACTCATGTCAACCTTTGTCGAACCCGTTTGGTGTTCTTTAAAAACTTAGTTTTGATCTTCTCTAGCTTCGTAACAATCTCTTTCGTGTTAAGCCTCTCATCTGGTGATTCTGCTGAACATTCTAAGGCAACTTGCAAGATTGATAAGGTACAATTGTTGGCTGCTGAGTGTTCCCTACCATTAGTGCTAAGTAAATTCATGTCTACTACTTGATTTAGCAGAGTAGATGATATCGACTCTTTTACCCAACTCTTCAAGCTTCTTTCTCCGGTAAACATTTCATCGGTGGGCTTTTTTCTCGTGACAGTTTCCATTAAAAGAATACCGAAACTATACACGTCTCCTTTTGTCGAAACAATTCCATCTATTCCATAGTCTGTATGAATTTATAAGAACATCATCATAATTGAATGATCTAACAAATGCAATAAAATGTCTAAATTGTTATATGCATCATAAAGGGAAATAATGTAACCTGGTGCCATATACCCAACCGTTGCCATCGTAATGGTTTGAATCATCGAGTCCTCGTTGCATAAGAGTTTTGCAATTCCGAAATCACTCAAATGTGCAACCATATCTTCATCTAACAGAATATTGCAGGGTTTCAAATCGCAGTGAACAAATGGTGTTTCATTACCATGATGGAGATACTCCAGAGCAGATGCAACATCTATCATTATGTTTAACCTTTGTAGGATATCCAAAAAATGGTTGTTGGAATACAACCATTTATCAAGACTCCCATTAGGCATGAACTCAAGCACTAAGGCTTTGAAATCGAGATCATTAGAGCAGCTACTAATTATTTTGATTAAATTTCGGTGACGAGTATTGCGGAGAACTTCGCATTCGACGTCGAAGCTCTTAAAAGCTCCTTCTAACTCTAACTTGAAGACTTTTACTGCAAATGTAATCCCATATGAGAGAGTCCCGTGGTATACAGAACCATAACTTCCATTACCAAGTAATTTGCTTCGACTGAATCCATCAGTAGCTCGATGAAGCTCGTGGTATGAAATTCGTTTCCAGGTTCCTAAAGTTACAAGTCTTTACGAGTCGGCAATTTGTCTTTTCTCTTCATACTTCACAAGATAATGATAATTAGAGCCACCACCAACAGTGTAGAAGCAATTGGCAATGCTACATATAGTATGAGCTTAGTTCTTGCCTTGGAATTCCTAAGGGGTTTAGTTTTGCAGCTCCGAACATGAAGTCGAGGTGCACCACACAATCCTTCGTTCCCCTTAAACGATTCGGTCGAATAATTTCCAAATGATCCTCCCTCGGGAATTTTACCTTCAAGACCATTGAAAGAGACATTGAAATATTTGAGATAACGGGGTTTCTCCAGGGACTTGGGAATCTCTCCAGACAGATTATTTCTTGACAAGTCCAAGAACTCCAAATTCAACAGCTCGCCAAATGACTCGGGAATCAGACCGGTGATTCGATTATTCGATAAGGAAAAATGAGTGAGATCCTTGAGATTTACAACTCCAGTTGGGATAGCACTGTCGAACCGATTGTTCGACAGATCCATAATAATCAAAACCTTCCACTTTCCAATGTCAATTGGCAGTGGACCACTTAGAGAGTTAAATTTATTTTAATTTTATTAAAATTAGGACAAATTTGATAGAATATGTAAGTAAAAATAATCAAATGTGTAATTATATCAAGGTTTTTAACTACCACGTCAGCTTCTTCGTTAAATGTCAACGACAAGTGACTTAATTGAATACATTTAAATAGTCAAATGACCTAATTGACCAAATTTTAAAAATGATGGTCAAAATGAAAAGAGACAATAGTTAGATAGTCACAATATAATTTACCCTTATAAGTTATAGGGTAAACTACACGGCTGACCACTCAACTATGGTCAAAAATCATTTTGACCACCGATGTTTCAATTCAATCAATCAGACTACCTAACTATTTAAATGTTTCAATTAAGCCACTCTTCGTTAACATTTAACGAAGGAGGTGACATGTCAGTTAAAAATTTTTGGTATAATTACACAATTGGTCCTTATTATTTATATATTCTTTATATTTGGTCCTAATTTTAATAAATTTAACCTCGAATCAGGAGGTTTCATGTCATTATTCGATTGAAAGACTAAAATAAATTCAAATAAATTTAGTCATTCAATCGAATAATGACATGACAACTCCTATTCGAGGGTTAAATTTATTTTGATTTATTGAAATTAGGACCAACTTAAAAGAATTTATAAATATTAGAGACCAATTGTGTAATTATAACAAAAGTTTTTAACTGTCACGTCACCTCCAACGTTAAATGTTAACGGAGAGTGGCTTGGTTGAAACATTTAAATAGTTGGGTGGGTGGTCTGATTGATCGAATCGAAACATCGGTGGTCAAAATGATTTTTGATCATAATTGAGTGTTCACCCATGTAGTTTACCCTTCATTTTATTATTCTGAAGCGCCCGATGCACATCGGCATTTTGAATCTCTCGAGATTTAAATTTGTTTTTTTTTTTGCTCGGCAAGATGAATTTTATTAATAAAACAAACCTTAATTAAGAGTCTCGTTAAAAACCTTCCTAAACTTAGTTGGAGAAAAAGAGTACTCTTAACAAGGTGCAAAGTACAAGACCACTGACACTTGCAAAACGAAAACATCAAAGCGGGCACTGGCCCCTCCACAACAAACCAATCGCTAAATTCACAACATATCCGAACAAAGATCAAGACTAATCAGAGGCAATTATCGAATCATTACGAACAAAATGATTTGCCCAAAAACTCATCAGCAACTTCTTCATCTGGACGGCCATCTGCATCTCTAGAGTTTATATAATATTTGAGTTTGACAGATCTTCATGAAGACCATCAAGCAGAAATGCTCAAAGCTCCTGGGTGACATGATAATTCAAACCACTAAAATGTGGTGCAAAACGCGCAAGCTTTGTTTTAAAAGGCCAAGGGGCAACTGGTGTTCGCTCAGGTGCCCACAGAATTGACAGCAACTCACCAAATACTAGAGCAAGCTCACCCTTATACCGAAAACAACCCCTCCCTAACAAGAGAAAAATACAGACTCCACAATAAACCGTCACAGAACCATCTTTAGAGAGAATAGCTCTAATAACCTCCATACCAATCAAAAAACACCCGAACCAAGTATGCAAAGAGCACTGCTAAGATAAATTCCTTGCTATCAAATCACCAGCTTGCCATGAACATAACTTTTCCCGTCGATCCCATCATTGCCAAGTAATCTTCCATATTATTGGTAGTCCTAGGTGAGAACACAAACTTAATCTCGCTAATCATCAGTGCAATAACATCAATTTCCTGAAAAATTACTCCCCACCTCCATGGACAAGTAGAGGCATTTTGAATCCAAGCCAGCACTACTTTAGAATCAGATTCGACAATCAGGACAGCCTTACAACACCAGCAAGATTCAATGAACACTGAAATTTGTTCAGATACTCCACCAGGTGCATAAACATTCATAACAGAAAATATCGAAACGTCTGTAGCATGCTTCCCTTCTATCAAAATAAATCTGTCTGAAATTACGCTGTCAAGATACTGAAATCTAGTCTTATCCTATACAGACAAAATACCCCCAGATTTACCCATTGCTTTCGAGAATCTAAATTCAAAGTGTTCATCGCACCAGAATCTACTTATTTCTATATCCGCAAAATCCTCCTTTTTAGTTTCTTGTAACAGCGCCATTACAATTCTATGAATCCGAATAATATTCCTAAGAACTGAATTTTTCACTTTAGACCCATACCTCTTGTATTCCAAGACAAAATCCGCATCTGGGCTCCTCCCCTCTGATTACAACTAGAATTCGATGGATTGGGACTCTTCTTCAATGTCGTCCGCAGCTAAAAATTCCCTAATTAAAACCTCCTCTGAACCTATAAACTGAATACCCAGCTCTCTGCCAATCTGTATCGTTTTCTTCGCTTCCAGCCTTTGTCTCTGCCATCGTTCTTGAAGATCCGAATCAGACAGGGACCTTCCTTCAAGTTCAGTCAACTCTTCCTCTCTTTGAACCTTCTTATGGTTTTTCTTCACACGACAATTTCTTTTTTTTCTCTGGGTAACACCGTATTTTTCTTGTATTTTTTTGAAGGGAACTGTATTTCTTGTTATTCCCCTCCTTGATTCTAACGTTCTGCTTATGTTTGGGCATAAAAACATCGTCACTCGACTTTGTAAGCATACAGAGCCCCTGTTCCCGTGCTTCCCCCTCTCGCCCCAAACTGGGCTTGCTTCCCTTCGGTTCTACCAAGCTCCCGTCCAATTGGTTCACTATACCATTGGATCCTTTTTTAGGTAAGTTGTTTGTAAGGCCCATAAAATCCGTGTCTTCCACCGCCTTTGATCCTAAGCTCCCTTCCCATAGAGACAAATCCTTTAAAATATCATTTATTCCATCATTTGCATCCACCACCTTAATTAGTATCCTACTGTCGTTTTGTGCCACTTCCCCCTCGTGTTCCTCCATCACTGATAATTGCTTTTGAATTTCCCCAGAACCAACAGCATTAACCCTCTGACCCAATATTGCGTCCTCCCCTATGTTTCTCTCTTCCTCATCCACGTCCGACAAAAAGTCTCCTTTTGATATGTTTCTAATACAGACTAAGTGGCTATCATCTTCCTCTTGTCGCCTCACCGAAATCTTCTACTCCGATGAATCCGAACTCCTTCCTATCGACGAACTCGATTCAACAGTAGCTAAATTAGCTTTTGCTTCTTGCTTACGACTGCTTGATTCGCTTCTATTAGTGGACTGTTCCACAATTCTAACTTTAAAAACATCCCTACCTGCTTCTAAATCAACCACTTTATCTATCAAATCCTTTCTACTAGTTGCTATTAAGATAATCATCTCCTCACATCCCAATTCCTGAAGAGCGTTTTCTCCTAACGCTAAAAATTCTCCCCATTGCTCAGCAATCCTTTTGAATGTGATATGATTCCAGCAATGTAATGGCACGCCGATTAATTTTATCCAGGTTACTCTTTCAGACGCTCTGTAAGATTCTGTCCACATATGAACTTCCAGAAAAACTTCCCGTAAGAGCGACCAGTTATGCTCCTTCATGAACCTATACAACTCATCATCAACAATTTCTATTAGGAAATCCCTCCCTCCCAGAAACTTGGTCTTAGCATCTCCCAAGCCTCCTGCACGTAATCTGTCCTCCACCTGAATCGAAGAACAGACCGTCGCCATACTTCCTACCAGACATTTCTGCAGCTTTCGAACGACATCCTCATCAATGACCCCCTGTATAATTCTGCTCCTCCTACTTACGTGAGTCTCAGAACCTTCCTTAGCACTGCTTTTATCTTTAGGTACCCTTGTGGCTATGTTGGAGTTTGAAGGGCTATTCAGATTCACACTTAGATTCTTTGATCTATGCCGTGCTTCCTTCACTGAAAGACGATATCCGAATAACCAAAATCCATTTAGTCTTTGCATTGCTCTCACTGAATCATCTTTGTTTGAGAATCTAACAAAGCCAAATCGCTTACCCATTCTGTCATACTTCCTTGCTATGTAATAACTGACCACATCTCCATGCCTACTAAATAATTGTCTCAATCCACTCCAATGATACCTAGGAGGTATGTTTTGAACAAACAGGGTTTGAATACCGACATTCCACATTGATGTTAGATCCATTTAACGGTATTTGAAAGTACGAAGAGTCTCAACTACTCCATTTTGTTGAGGTTAAAGCAGTTATCAAAATCGTGGTTTATAAAACATCAGTTTATCGGTAAACCAAATACACTTTATAGAAGTAGATTTAATTTTTAAAGAGTAAATATACTTTTTCGAGATTTAAATTTGTATTTGTAATAAAACTGAAAATAGAGTAATTACTCATCGGAGTATTGCTACGTTGTGAGTCACCTTTACTAATATGGAGTGTTGATTAAGGTAAATCAAATTTGATTTAATTTGAAAAGTTACTATTTTTAAGTAATGAGAATTTTAATTTGATTGTTTAATTTTTTAATTTTATCAATTAGTTTAGATAATTTCTTGAAAGTTGTTGATTCCTCAAAATCAAGGAAGTTTTTGAGGGAACACTTTCATCGATTAAAACTTCTGAAAATCCATATCGTACAATCAACCATAATTCTTTAATATAAACTCTGGCAGACTCATAATTTATCAAGGGAAAATCTACGATCATACACTCATATTCATTTGTCCTACTAGCATATGAATAATTATCATAACTCTAGATCTGTTATTAACATTAAAAGTGAGTACATAAGATCGTCATGCTTGAGTGGAGAAATAGTTTAAACTCTCTCTTTCTTCCCTCGAGTCGAAGAAGATTATAAAAATTTATGTCGAAAAAGTAGATACTGTTCTGATGAATATTAAGTGGAGGTTTTTTAGTAGGAATTATTAAGGAATAGCTAGTACCATTGGTGTTGTATTTGCACTGCTGGGTAAAAGACGATTGTGGTATGGTTGATTGGTTGGTTATTGTTTGGTTTGTTGATAGATTCAT